GGAGACGGGGGTCGTAGCCTAGGTAACCATCGTCGTCGAATGGGCGAGTTGACCCCGTGGTCGGAACTGAGTCGTCTTCGGGTTGAGTGAACGAAGCCATGATCAATTTACTGACACGTAAGAAAGGCCTCTCTCTCTCTGCTCTTAACGACCAAGCGAAATGCTCGCAAAGGCAGCTAATTACTGGAGAAATATCAGTAGGTTGCGTTGTGCTGGGCGGAAATATTGGGCTTTAATTTGAGATATGGGCTCAATACACATGTTGGGCCCACATCCATTTCACATTCTTTTTTATTTTGGGTAGGGCTGATTTTCGGAGGATGGGAATCACGATTCCAATTCTAATCCAAAAAAATTCGGGATGAAAATTCGATTCCAATTTTGTTACAAAAAATTTCAGAATTTTAATATCCATTCCAATTTGGAAACTCGGAATTTTTGGAAAATTTCAGAACTTACGTATTTCGGAATATTTTTGGAAAATTACGGAAACTACTTCAAAAATCTAAACATGCCCAACCATTTGAAGGATTAAAATTGACTCCAAATTGAAAACTCATCCAGTAAGCTTGGGAAACTATTATAATGATAGTACTTATATGTTGTTATTACTTATGAAATAACTTGTCTATGTCTATTTGGTGATCAAATTATATTTAATTCAACATGAAATTAGTAATTGTGAGTAATTTAAGCTTGAAACCCCAATATATTTCGGAATTTGGAATTTTCGGAATCTCTAGATACATTCTAATTCCAATTCAATTTTTATCGGAATTTTTAGATTTCAGAACTTTCGAATGTCGTAATTGATCCCCCCACTGAATAGAGTTTAAAAACCAGAGAGAGCGAGAGTGAGCTCTAGGAAAGAGATAATAAAACCATCAAAAGTAGATTTCTGAGTTTTGTAAAGACCATTATCTCCAGATTTACATAAAAATTTGTGCCTAACAAACTTTCTGATTTATGTGCTGCTTATACAGCAAGATGCAACTCCCACACCAGTATGGTAGCAAATTATGTTATTTCTATATTTTGAGCTTCAAACCTTCCATCAATATAGTTTGCCCCCTTAAGAAGAACTAAATACAGGTTTTCTAATGTCCAATGAACGATTAAAGGAAGAAAAAAAATATTTTCCGCACCTGGGTTCCAATGGAACCAGTAGATCCAATAAACCATTAAAAGAAGAAGAAAAATCTTTTTCCGCACCTGGATTCTTGATGGCCCATTTTAGATTAGGATAAATTAGTAATTCAGCACATAGTTTGTCAGTAGGTTGTACTCAGTTAATTTTCTAGGGTTCGTTTAACAGTACCCTAATTTAATAGATTGCTCAACAGAACTATTGGTTCAATCGCAAACAAGCGAAATTCGAAACCCTACCTCCTCCACTCTCTGAGAGCAAAGCCTTCCTCAGGCAGCATATCCGACGGAGGCGGCAAAATCGGATCGTTGGATTCGCCGAACCCTCCATCAAAGCCCTGGCCGTTTGATTCAGGGTAGATCGACGGAGGAGAAAGGCCCTCCGTCGCCTGCTGAGCGACGTACGCGTCATCTACGGCGGAGCCGTGGAAGAGCGGTGAGTCAGTGGCCGAATCCTTGACCGACTCCGAGTCGGCAAAGTTAGTGGCGACGAAGGATTCGAATCGCACGGAGGGGAGACGGGGGTCGTAGCCTAGGTAACCATCGTCGTCGAATGGGCGAGTTGACCCCGTGGTCGGAACTGAGTCGTCTTCGGGTTGAGTGAACGAAGCCATGATCAATTTACTGACACGTAAGAAAGGCCTCTCTCTCTCTGCTCTTAACGACCAAGCGAAATGCTCGCAAAGGCAGCTAATTACTGGAGAAATATCAGTAGGTTGCGTTGTGCTGGGCGGAAATATTGGGCTTTAATTTGAGATATGGGCTCAATACACATGTTGGGCCCACATCCATTTCACATTCTTTTTTATTTTGGGTAGGGCTGATTTTCGGAGGATGGGAATCACGATTCCAATTCTAATCCAAAAAAATTCGGGATGAAAATTCGATTCCAATTTTGTTACAAAAAATTTCAGAATTTTAATATCCATTCCAATTTGGAAACTCGGAATTTTTGGAAAATTTCAGAACTTACGTATTTCGGAATATTTTTGGAAAATTACGGAAACTACTTCAAAAATCTAAACATGCCCAACCATTTGAAGGATTAAAATTGACTCCAAATTGAAAACTCATCCAGTAAGCTTGGGAAACTATTATAATGATAGTACTTATATGTTGTTATTACTTATGAAATAACTTGTCTATGTCTATTTGGTGATCAAATTATATTTAATTCAACATGAAATTAGTAATTGTGTGTAATTTAAGCTTGAAACCCCAATATATTTCGGAATTTGGAATTTTCGGAATCTCTAGATACATTCTAATTCCAATTCAATTTTTATCGGAATTTTTAGATTTCAGAACTTTCGAATGTCGTAATTGATTTGGACTTGCCAACTTACACCCCTAATTTTGGACTTTTCTCAGTAGGGGAGAGCCCGATATTGTTTGGTTCGGTTTAGGTTTCAAACCATGTCTATTCTTCATAAATTCTAAATTTGCCGAAAAACAAAATCAAAGTTAAGTTCAACTAGCGTGATGGTCCAGGATAAACAACGAATTGGATGTACAAAGTGAATGAAGTAATGGGTTTCTTCTCTTACTTGTGCTATTTTGATCTTGAACTGTGATTTGAGTTTTCACAACTTGTACACTGCGTATTGCTCAAGTCAGCAACCCCATCATCAATTTTGGTTCACTATCCTCCTAGTGGTGGCTGCCTGCAACTTGGCAACCTTCCTAGTGTAGGCTCTGCAATTTGCATCACTGTTCAAATTGCAGTGATGCAAACACTAGTAATATTTACTTAAAAAAAAAATCAGAAACTGTTTGCTTTTCATCTCAGAAGTCCAAAGAAGAAAAACCCAAACACTTCAAAAAGTGAAATGGGAACAAATATTAAAGAAACTGAACTAAATAAATGGAGTTCCTAGGTAGCTTGATTAGCATTTGGTCAATTTTCATGCAACTCTTTCTACTTAGCTCTGCCTCCACAAGTCCAAGAGGAAATGAGGTGGATAGAATCTCCTTGCTTGCCTTTAAAGCTGAAATGAATGATAGCCTGGGCATTCTTAGCTCTTGGAATGAATTAGTCCCTACACTTGTGTCTGTGATTGGCCAGGCATTGTTTGTGGCCATCAACACAAGAGAGTCACAGTGCTTGACCTCCAATCAAGACAGCTGAAGGGTCGCTTATCTCCCCACATTGGGAACTTGAGCTTTCTCAGGACATTACACCTCCAAAACAACAGCTTCAGCAGCAACATCCCTCAAGAAATTGGTCATTTGTTCCGGTTACGAAAACTAGACCTTGGAAGCAGCTTCTTCAGTGGTGATATTCCTGTCAACATATCACTTTGCTCTAGCCTCGAATACCTTGGCTTGGTTGGCAACAATCTCAGCGGCAAACTTCCAGCTGAAATAGGCTCATTGTCCATGCTGCAGGTACTTTACGCAAGAACAATATAGTTGGGGAAATCCCACCTTCTTTTGGAAATCCTTCTTCTATTCTGAGGCTATCTTTGGACCAAAATAATCTGCATGGAGGGTATCTTTCCAAGTAGCCTTGGGAATTTGAAAAGTCTTGGGTTAGGTACCAACAACTTGACTGGAACTATCCCTCATCTACAACCACTCTTCAATCACACGTTTCTGTTCATGATCAATTTACCATAATATAAAATGATGTGAGTTAAAGTTAATTCTTGTCTTATACCCTCATTTAGGGCTATTTGGGATTGCTTCTAATTATGTTTGGCAAAAATAATTAATAATATAAAACTTTCAAATTTCAACATGCTTCTAATAAAAGTGCTTTTAAAAAAACTATAATAAAAGTGCTTTTAAAAAGACGCTTATAAGCATAAGTCCTCTCTACAAAAGTGGTTCCAAACATCATTTTCTGAGTTGCAAATTCTCGTTATTCCTATTTGACCCTCATTTTAAACCAGTTTGAGTCCCACGATTTGCCTAAACCCTTCAACTACGTTCATACACAACCAATTTGTAGTCAACCATTTGCCACAATTTGTCTCTGCTTATGAAGTTCACTACAAATTACTCTTGTCAACATCAACTGTTTGTCTTTAAATTTGCATCAACTTGCAAACGCGCTTCATAAGAAGAGATTGCAAATCCACGTGGTTCCTATTTGTCCTTGATTTTGTCTCTTCAAAATACAAATAGATACTATTGGCAGTCAATTTGGACTTTACAAATTCCTCTTGTCAACATCACCTTTTTAAGTCTTTGTAAAGAATGTGATTTCTTGATATTATATTCGGATTACAATTGTACAAAATATATATATATATAATACAGTTGCCTTTATTAGAACTATTTTGGTAAATACAAAGGGCTATTAACCGTAGCAAATAATTTGGAGATCATGATATTAATCAACATCATTTAGAGATTCATCAGTGGAGGAAATAATGGTTGTGATTGCTGGATTGACACCCCCCCAAACTGAACAACCCTGGTTGGACAAGTTTGGATCGTAAGAGAGCATGGCGTGGCTTGTGTAGGGCCTTCGTAAGAAGATCAGTCGGCTGATCAATAGAGGGAACATAACGGACTTGGCGACTCCCAAGAGCGACTTTTTCACGGACAAAATAGTAGTCAAGCTCAATATGACGTGTCCGAGCATGAAAGACAGGGTTGGCGGCCATGTATGTCGTACTTAGGTTGTCACAATGAAGGAGAATAAGAAAGTGGAGAGAAACCCCAAGCTCGGAGAGTAGATAGGAGGGCCAGGTAGTCTCAGCACATGAGTGCGCAAGGGAGCGATACTCGAATTCCGCACTTGAACGAGCAACAATGGGTTGCTTCTTGGAACACCAGAAGATTAAATTGGAGCCCAAATAGATGAGGTAGCCGCTGGTAGACCGACGCGAATCAGGGCAGCTCGCCTAATCTGCATCGGAGTAGGCACTGAGGCGGGCGGTGGACGGTTGCGGGCTAAGAGAGAGACCAAAGTCGAGCGTGCCTTTGACATACCGTAAGATCCGTTTGGCAGCGACAAGGTGAGAGGTGCGAGGGGCAGCCATGAACTGAGCAATGAAGTGGACCGCGAAGGATAAGTCCGGGCGAGTCAATGTCAAGTATTGAAGACTGCCAACAATTTCACGGTAGGTGGAAGGAGACTCAAAGGGCACACCGTCGAAAGCGGACAAAGGAACTTTGGCAGCCAAGGGAGTGTTGGCAGGTTTGCAGTGGAGCATGCCATGACGCTTTAGTAGGTCGTGGGCATATTTTAGCTGTGAGATATGAAGGCCATCAGATTTGGTGGTAACTTGAAGGCCTAGAAAGAAATGAAGTGGGCCAAGATCCTTGATATCAAAGGCAAGGCCCAATGTAGTGATGAATTGGTGAAGAAACCTGGAATCATTTCCTGTAACCACGATGTCATCAACATATAACAATAAAAATATGACATAAGAGGCATGCTAAAAAATAAAAAAGAGAAGAGTCAGATTGGCTGTGTTGGAAGCCGAAGGAAAAAAGAAACAAGCTAATGCAATGGAACCATGCGGGGGATGCCTGCTTGAGGCCATATAAGGCCTTGTGAAGCTTACAGACATAATTGGGCCGGGTGTGGTCAACAAAGCCTGGTGGTTGAGCCATGTAGACATCTTCTTGGAGAATGTAATGGAGGAAAGCATTTTTGAAGTCGAATTGGCGAAGAGACCAACCCCGAGAGATGGCAATAGTGAGAACTGTGTGGATGGTGGCAGGTTTAACAACATGGTTGAAGGTTTCAGCGTAGTCGATACCAGGTTGTTGATGAAAACCCTTCGTAACAAGACGGGCTTTGTAGCGCTCCATACGACCATCAAAAGTACGTTTGATCCGAAAGACCCACTTGCAACCAACCGTATTTTGAGACGGGGTAGAAGGAACAAGAGCCCAAGTATTATTCTTCGGAAGAGCATTAATTTCTTATGTCATGGCAGCACGCCATTCAACATGTCTCTAAGCTTGAGAAAAACAAGTCAGTTCCTGATCAGTGACAACTGCTAAAAGAGCACGAGAAAGGGGATACCTAACTGTCCCATTCGTGCGAATTTTAGGATGGAGTGTGCCAGTGCGGGATCGGGTAATTATTGGGTGAGGTGCTAGCGGGTTCGTTGCGACAAGAGGTGCAGGCCTAATTGCAACATAGGAGTCAAGCAATTCAGCAATGGAACAACCTGTTGGGTGTGCTGGAGCAATGGGACCCATGAGGGTTGACGTATACACATGCTCTACCTGGGTCAAGGAGTCAGTGGGGACGGACTGGGATGCGGGTGCATCAACATGGGTTGACTGGGAGATAGGGTCAGCAAGGGCTGACTGGGTTGTAGAGGAATGGGGGCCCACGGGGTGGGTTGGCAAACTGGGCCTGGAGAAACTGGAGCCATAAGTGGTCCTGATGGGGAAGTGGGTTGCACGGGATCAATGGGCTGGTGAGCCACAAGTGGTAGGGGCAACGGTATAGTAGGAAGTAGAGAAAGGTCTAGTGCCACATAAAGGGATGAGGGAGATACCTGCAACTGAGTAAAAGGAAAACAATCTTCTTTAAAAATAACATGCCTAGATGTGTAGACACGACCCGTGGATGGGTCAAGGCAATGATAACCCTTGTGATGGAGGCTATAACCAATGAAAACACATTCCAAGGAACGACTCAATAACTTGTGATTAACATAAGGACCAAGAAAAGGAAAACAAGAACACCCAAAGACACGGAGATGAGAATAAGTGGGAGTTTGGAAAAGAGAACGGAGTAAAGGGTAGACTAGTTTAAGATGGGAGTAGGAAGGAGATTAATAAGATGAACCAAGGTTAGAGCAGCTTCGACCCAAAGATTGAGAGGCATGTGAGAAGTGGTGAGGAGAATATGGGTCATGGTGGCAATGTGGCGATGTTTGCGTTTAGCAAGACTGTTTGGTTGAGGGGTGTGGGGACAAGAGAATCTTTGTTGGATACCGAGGGAATGACATAAAGTGGTGAAAGAAGTATTAACGTATACCGTACCATTATCACGTTGGAGATATTTGACAGAAGTCCCAAATTTGTTTTTAACCATAGCCACAAATTGTTGAAAATGAGAAAATACTTTGGATTTACGACGCATGGGATAAATCCATGAGTAGTGGGAATATTCATCAGTGAAGAGCACATAGTAACGGAAACCTGTAACAGAAGTAACAAGAGACATCCACACATCAGAGTGAATTAAGTAAAATAAAGATGGGGCATAATTTTTATTGATAGAAAAAGGCAATTGGGTTGATTTACCAAGAGCACAACCTTTACAAATTTAGAATGCGAATGAAAAGTAGAGCCTAAAGAGGAGCTTAATTTAGATATGACTGAAGATGAGGGACGACCAAGACGATTATGCCACACTGAAGAGGAGACAGCAGCGAGAGAACGAGGGATAGAATAGAAGGACATCGGGTACAGACCATCCTTACAGGGGCCCTAAAAAAGAACTGTGGCAGTATGAAAGTCATAAATTTGGTAGAAATTGGGTGCAAAATCGAAGAAGATAGAGTTATCATGTGTAAAGCGAGCAACAGACAAAAGATTTTTGTCAAGAGTAGGAACAAGGAAGACATCACTAAGGGTGATTTTAGAAGTCCCCAAAGAGAGGGGTATGTTACCAGTATGAGAGATAGAAAGGGAGTCTCTATTACCCAAAAGTACAGAATTGTTACCATGATAGGGTTGGGGATTAGAGAGAGAATTGCCATTGCCAGTCATGTGGTGGGTTGCTCTTGTATCGGGGTACCACGTGTTGTCTGGCAGATGAATGGTGTGGGAGCCAGCAAAGGAGGGAAATGAGTCATGCCCATTGTAGCGATGGGGGTAAGCAGCAGCAGTGTGTTAAGTAGTAGAGCAGGTGGGAGACCAATTAGAAGAAGGAAGGCCTAACACACCTTGGCCAGCCCAAGGGGGTTGTGAGCTAAAGCCACGACCAGTCGAGGGTTGTGGGGGCCCATTCCAAGGAGCCCAACTAGGTGTCTGCCAAGAAGAGGATTGAGGTGAGAATGCATTCCAACGATCACCACGACGTGAGCCATTGCGATCGTGACAACCGTTGCCTCGGGAGAAATGAGAGGTCTGGGAGAGACCAACTCCACCACGAGGTGGCCCGGATGACTGGCTGCCATTAGGGCAGTGCTTTGGGCAGCAGGGTCAAAAGAGGAAGGGCGCGGGGCATGGGTCTCAAACGAGAGAAGGCGAGAGCGTAACTCGGTGAAATTTGGCAGCGTAGGGAAATTAATGATGGTAGTAATAAGCATGGCATAGTCAGGACCCAAGCCACGAAGAATGGCAGTGACCAAATCATCGTTGGAAACAGGTTGGTTGATAGAGGCAAGTGAGTCAGCAAGAGATTTGGCCTGGTTGAGGTATTGGTCAATGGTTTTGGTGCCTTTTGTCATATCAAGGAGTTGGAAGTGGAGATTGGCATCACTAGTACTGGACTTTTGGGCAAAGTGAGTTTGCAAACAATCCTAGATTCCTTTGGAAGTGTCGTAACCGACAGTGAGGGTGAGAACTGGCTCGGAAAGTGTAAAGGTGAGGTAACTAACGACAAGCTGGTCTTGTTTGTACCAGACAAGGAAGTCAGGATTGGGTTGAGTGAGAGTGGTGGCTGTAACAGAAGAGGAATTAGGAAGGTCAGAGGTGGGGTTGGAGGAGGTGTTGGTTGTGGTGGCAGCAGGGGTGGGGTTGGAGGAGGTGGTGGTTGTGGTGGCAGCATGGGTAGGATTAAACCCATCAACGTATTGCCACAGGTCATGGCCGACAAGGAACAACTTGATTTGGCGAAGCCAGAGCAAGTAGTTGGATTCAGAGAGTTTGATGAAATGGGTAGTGTTTGGGCCAGAAGGGGAGGGAGAGGAGGAGGAGTTGTTGGTGGCGGCCATGGAGGATTAGAGAAGAGAGGTGACTTCGTTTGAAGGAGAAAAGGGTTGATACCATGTAAAGAATGTGATTTCTTGATATTATATTCTAATACAATTGTACAATATATATATATAATACGGTTGTCTTTTACTGGAACTATTTTGGTAAATACAAAGGGCTATTAACTGTAGCAAATCATTTGGAGATCATGATATCAATCAGCATCATTTAGAGCACTTCTAGCAGTTAGCCCCTTGCCATGGCAAGGGGGGGCTAGGGCAGCTACTATTCATGTGAATAGTGGCTGCCCTTGCAAAAAGCAATGTGTGTTTCCAGCAGTTGCCATGGCAAAGGGCAAATACTATTTGTTTTTTTTTTGTTTTTTTCACAAATTTGTTTACCTAAATAATTAATTTGGATAATATTTTCGGATTAGATTTTTGGGTTCATACGTGTCAATCTTTATTATAAAATTCATATCTCATAATCGGAAAAAAAATTTCGGATAAGATTTCGGAAAATAAAAACTTGAAAGTGAAAAAAATATTAAATAGAAAGTGAATAATAGTTGAAGGAGACGAAAATATATGAAGATTTGGTGTTAAAAGTGAAGAGTATTGGTTAGTATTAATAGAAAAAAATTTCATTAATTTTTGGTTTTTTTTTTTTTTTTAAATTTGAATTTTTTCCATTATTTTATTGCACAAAAATTCGCTGCCGTTGGATTGGAGGAAAAAAATCCAATCGGAGAGCCCAGACGATGCCACGTGGCCAGTGGCGGACCTGTGCAGGTGCAAGGAGGTGCACCTGCACCTCCGGTCGCCAGAAAAGTCCATTAGAGCAGCTGGAGTTGCACCTCTGCTTCAGACCAGAGATGCACGCAACATGTTCGACGAAATGCCCAAACCACCTGGGCGCTGCGATGCAGCTGCTGCCCTCTGCACGCTTGTTTTTTTTTTTTTTTAACTTCTAAAACCCCCTTTGCTTCACTCTCAAAATGCACACAAAACTTGTACTCGATTGGGCTCTACAGAAGCTCAAAGTCCTTACCCAACTGTCAGAAGAGGCGAAATTCCATCTGGGTATGCTGCATTTCTTCCCTCAATGACGTAAATTACATTCAACTTTTAGTTGGTCCAATTGGGTTCTTCTCTTCTCTAAGCAGTGTTCATTAGGAAATGCTACTATGAAACTTTGGTTAGAAGATTGGTTTTTTTCTCTTTTCCAGCTGGGTATGTTTGATTTTGCTCCAATTAGTGAATTTTGGTCTGTGTAATTTTTTCCTTTAGCTGTTATTGTTAGCTTGTGGAACTGGAAGTTTCTACTTGATTATTATTCTGAAGTTATGCTGCAATTATGACATTATGTCAAGGTTTGAAGGACTAATATAGGGTAAGCGGTTAATAGTAGGCAATCCTACTTTTGAACATGTCAAAGCAGCCAAAAACTAGTTAGAAGCTTGATATAGTTGTACCTATTTGCTTTACTGTGGAACATACAAATAGAAAAGAGAAAAAAAAGCAATTTTGGTGTCTGTTTATAGATCATACTCCCTATCCCTTGTTGCTGATTTTGATTTTGATTTTACATGTGTTAGTACTTGATTCGGTTCCATATACATGGTTGCATATAGATCTTGGAGACTGTAGTCTATGAGACTCAAGCCCTTTCTTTTTATGATATGAAACTTCGTCGGCAACAATTGTAGGTTAATTGTAATGTTATTTTTTAAATTTATTATGAATAACATTAGTATTGTTTAAATTACAAGGATGTTTAGTTGTCAATTTTTTTTTTTTTTGAGCTCTTAGCTTTTGAAAATTGCACCTTTGTTGAAAAATTTCTAAGTCCGCCGCTGCACGTGGCTGCTGGCTATGGGCGGCACTGTAGCGTGTTGACATCATCCAAAACTCGGGCTCCAAGTCGGGCCAGCCCAGTCTGCTGGGGTCCACTCCTTGCCCGAGCTTGCCTGCCCTGCTGGAATCGATTTTTGGGCTCAGCCCGCCCCCCAGTGGATCTGCTGGAAGTGCTCTTAGAGATTCATCAGTGGAGGAAATAATGGCTGTGATTGCTGGATTGACAGTCTTTCCTCTCGTCAACGTCAACTTTTTAAGTCTTTCCTCTCGTCAACGTCAATTTTTTAAGTCCTTGGGTCAACTTACACACCAAGTCAACTTTAGTAAGCAGAGACCATCAAACTCTTCCCTATTCAATCTGTTTCTTTATTTCTTTTTCCCTTTCTCACTACAAGAACAATGGCTTTCATCACTCACTAAATTGTTTATGAAAACCTTTGTTTCTAGTTACCTAAATATCAAGAGCTAGAGTTGTTGCACTTGCAAGTTGTAATTTTCATGCATAAGTCTTGCCTCAGCTTCATAACTTGAGCTTTACTTTGCGGCCTAAATGGGGTTCCCTCCAAGTATGGTTATAAGAGTTTGGTCAATTTTCATGCAACTCTTCCTCCTAACTTCAGCCTTCTCACGTTTAGTAGGACATGAGGTGGATGGGCTGTCCTTGCTTGCCTTTAAAGCTGAAATCATGAGTGATAGCATGGGCATCCTTAGCTCCTGGAACGAATCCCTGCACTTGTGTGAATGGCCAGGCATTTTTTGTGGCCGCAGACACCAGAGAGTCACAGGGCTGGACCTCCGATCAAGCCGGCTGCAGGGCCGCCTATCTCCCCACATTGGAAACTTGAGCTTTCTCAGGACATTGCGCCTCGAAAACAATCTATTCAACCACACCATCCCTCAAGAAATTGGTCGTTTGTTCCGGCTACAGATGCTGAGTTTTGATAACAACTCCTTCAGTGGTGCTATTCCATCCAGCATATCGCGTTGCTCTAACCTCCAATACCTTAGTTTATTTGGAAACACTCTTAGTGGCAAAATTCCAATTGAAATTGGCTCATTGTCCAAGCTTCAGGTACTTAATTTAGGCACAAACTATTTAAGTGGGGAAATCCCATCTGCCTTTTCAAATCTTTCTTCTCTTGAGATGCTATATGTGCAAAAAAATAATCTGCATGGAGGTATTCCAAGTAGCCTTGGCCAGTTGAAAAGTTTAAAATATCTTGCATTGGGTACAAATAATTTGTATGGCACAATCCCTCCCATCATATACAACCTCTCTTCAATTAAACTCATTTCTGTGCTTGCAAACCGACTTCATGGAACTCTTCCTCCTGGCTTGGGCCACACTATATTTCCAAACCTTGAATCCTTTTCATTCCATATGAACCGATTCAGTGGACCAATACCAATTACAATCTCCAACGCATCCAACCTTTCATTGTTTGGAATCTCAGGAAATATGTTTAACGGAAGAGTGCCTAGTCTGGCAAGGATGTCCAATCTGTTTCGGGTAGAAATGGACAATAACAGTCTTGGAAATAATGAGGATGGTGACTTGGATTTTCTCTCTTCTCTTGTTAATTGCACCAATTTAGAGCGTTTGGATATTAGTGGCAATAATTTTGGAGGACTGCTACCTGACTCTATCAGCAACCTCTCAACAAAGCTCACGGTACTGAAACTGGGAACGAATCAGATACGCGGTAGCATTCCTGTTGGGATTGGAAATCTCATCAACTTGGGGGTTCTAGACTTTAAGGTAAACCTATTGAGGGGCGGTATACCAAGCTCAATATGTAATCTAAATAAACTGTATGATCTGTGGTTGAATCACAATGAGCTGTCAGGTGCTCTTCCATCTTCTCTAGGCAATCTAACTTCGTTAGGCAGATTAAATCTCATGTCAAACCACTTACAAGGAAGCATACCACCAAGTCTCGGTGAATGCGGGAATTTGCTAGCTTTGGTTCTTTCTCAAAATAATCTTAGCGGTCCCATTCCACAAGAAGTCATTTTGTCATCCTTGTCACTAGTTTTGGATCTATCCAGTAACCATTTTACTGGTTCCATTCCGATTGACGTGCTTCGCTTGGGGAGTCTTACTTCCTTGGATCTTTCAGAAAACAAATTATCTGGTGAGCTTCCAAACGCTATAGGGGCATGCGAGAGTTTGGAAAGTTTGCATTTGGAAGGGAATTTTTTGCAAGGGACCATTCCTCAGTATTGGAAAGGACTGAGAGGAATTGAAGATTTTGACCTTTCCCGTAACAACTTGTCTGGAGGAATTCCCGACTATTTGGGGGGTTTCCGCCTTTTGCGAAATTTGAACCTATCATTTAATGATTTAGAAGGCGCAGTACCAACGAGAGGAGTTTTCCAAAATACAAGTGCGCTTTCTATCACGGGAAACAAAAGGCTATGTGGAGGTAAACCTCTGCTAGGATTGCACCAATGCCGATTAATCTCCAATCAACCATGGCGGAAAGTACTTACCTCAATTGCTTGTGGGGGAGTTATTGGACTTGTCTTACTCTTGTTCTTTGTGCTTCTTCATCCATCAAGAAAAGCATTGCGCTTTGTGCTTCTTTATCCATCAAGAAAAGCAAGAGTGAAGCCAACTTCAGGATCATCATGGGGGGTTTCACTCTTGAAAGTGTCATATGCAGATCTCCTCAAAGCAACTAATGGTTTTGCTTCTCGGAATTTGATTGGTGCTGGTAGTTTTGGTTCTGTGTACAGGGGAATTCTCAATGAGGAAGAAAGAATTGTTGCAATCAAAGTACTCAATGGTCAGAGTTCCAGAGAAAGCTTTATAGCTGAATGTGAAGCCTTGAAAAACATTAGGCACCGAAACCTTGTCAAACTATTGACCGCGTGTGCAAGTACCGATTTTCAAGGAAACGATTTCAAAGCTTTGGTTTATGAATTCATGATGAATGGTAGTCTAGAAGAGTGGCTGCACATTTCAGCTGACAGAGTAGCTGGGGCACCCATTGTGCAGGGGCATTTGAATTTTATTCAGAGGGTAAGTATTGCCATTGATGTAGCGAATGCTCTGAATTATTTGCACAACCACTCTCACATGCCAATAGTTCATTGTGATTTAAAGCCCAGCAATGTTCTCCTGGAGGGTGACATGACTGCCTGTGTTGCTGATTTTGGTTTAGCAAGGTACCTCCCGGATGCTTCACGTTCACTTCCTTCACATGAAAGCACTTCCAATGTCATAAAGGGTTCCATAGGCTATATTGCCCCAGGTAAGTTGGATTCTTGCTTCAACCTCCTTCTAACATATACAAGAAAATAATAACTTCTTTTGCTTTTTAGCTTATAACTGTATGATCCATATGTTTTTGTGCCAACAAATTACAGAGTACGGTGTGGGAAACGATGTGTCAATATATGGAGATGTGTATAGCTACGGAATCCTGCTATTGGAGATGCTTACAGGCAAGAGGCCTACGGATGAAATGTTTAAAGATGACCTGAACCTGCACAACTTTGTTAGAATGGCTTTGCCTGAACGTTTAGAAGAAATATGTGATCCGGTGCTTCTTCAAAGAAAAGAAAGCAGCACTCGTAGTAATGCCACAAACAATAGGAACAATATCGAAGATGATCAAGGACAAAGAGTAAGGAAATGCTTGGTTATCCTTGCGAGGATAGGAGTTGCTTGCTCTGCAGATTCTCCGAAAAAGCGGATGGATATTGGCAATGTTGTAGACGAATTATGCCTAGCAAGGGATGTACTGACCAGAACCTGGATTCCTAGAAAGCATATGATCACCGCCTAAGCAACACGACTGAGTCAGGAATTTAGGCCTATTTGTAGATGTTATGTTTTTTAATTAATCAAACTCTCAGTTACATTTTACAGCTAGCAGAAATGAATAATGTAGCATCAAAACGATACAATCGGAATTTGAAACAGAGAGTTTTCTACTCAGACTGAACCTCACTGGCTATGGGGTCAAGAGTCAAGGAAAAAGTGGAGTTTTCCAAATCTAACCTTCAATTTTTGTTCCATTCAGATTCTTTCTTTCGAGCATGCATAATCAGTTTGTCCTTCTCTTTTCTTAGACTACCAGTTGAAGAGTAGCTTTGAAATCCTAGGTGACAGTAACAAATCGTATCATCTATTATGGCTAGATGTATAGATGATAGGGTTTGTTGAAGCAGGATTATGTCTAGTAAGGGATGTACTAATTGTAACCATCAATTTAACATCATATAAAAAGATGTGAGTTAAAGTTAAGAGGAGAGGAACTTAATAAACAATTTTGTTCATTCTTGTCTAATCACCACATTTAGTGCTATTTAGGATTTTGCTTCTAAGAGCATCCACAGTTGGGGGGTGTATATGGGGGTGTATGTTAAATATACATCCCGAGTCATCGGAATCGTCTCCAATGATGAGATGTAAATGTATGTAAATATACATCACCACAATGAGGATATAAAATAAAATGTATAATGGGGTGTATATCACATTTACACCCCTTTGGCCCGAAACACATGCAGTGGGCATTGCTTCTGGAAACCCTTTTAACCAACAAGTCATATGGTACACGTGATGCTCTCCTAGAAATGTAACAGCTGTTCAACATCATATGCATGGCCAACCTGTTAAACATCATTAGAAATGTACAGCGGCCCAATCTTAATTATCATAAATAAATAATTTAATCTTGCATCTAATACCTAACAGTCCAATGAAAATGCCATCAAATAACTAATGTTAAGGTTGTATTTTTGTTTTGTGGCCTTGATCCACATGGGTTATATTATAAATCACAAAAGGACCTAAACTAAAAATTGAACTTTTTAAGGGGATAAATAAAAGTCAACTGGATCCATTTTCAATTATACAATCTTCATGGGCTAAATCATTCATTACCAATTTACCACATTCACATTTGTTCCCCAAAATATGTAAAATGGCTCCAGCCCACGTGGCGTGATCCCAGTGGCTTCCTGCCTCACAGTCAAGGGAGCCGAGGACGTCCTCAACAAGCAGTACGCGTTCGAGCTATCCACGCGCTCCGACACCATGTACTTCATCGCCGACTCGGAGAAGGAGAAGGAGGACTGGATCAACTCGATCGGACGGTCCATAGTGCAGCACTCGAGGTCCGTCACCGACTCCGAGGTCGTCGATTACGATAGCAACAAGTGATGGGGGAAGGGGCAATTTGGTCAGATTACTACTCTGTGATGTGAACCAAAGAGCTATAGCCTATAGGTGAGTGAGAGCTCCGACGCTCGTATTCATACCCCTTGTAATTTTGTACGTGCATAAAATTGGGTGGACTCGTTATGTGTTTGTGTTTCATCTTCTGTAAATGAATTTTCAGATCGTATGGTGCTTCGTCTTTGCAGCATTTAAACTCTTTGTTTGGTAACGATCAGATGTCAATTCAATTACCTTCCATTTCTGGCTTTTGATTTTTCTTTTAGGTGTTAAATTGAGCTGCTTTACTGTTAGGGTTTATTGCAATTTCTGATTCACTTAAACTGAGTGTTACAAGTTGTTTAAATTGGGGATAAATTTGATCTAGTTTGGATTGATTAATTTCAAGTAAGATTCAATTGCTTTACACAGTCGATTGCATGCTTCGAAAACTTCATGATAGTTCGTATGCTTGAAGTATAAATGACCCATAATCTCATTGAATATGTTACAATTAAACTTTTGGTGATCCAAGGTGGGTTGTGATTATGGCAGTGCTTAAGGATTGTAGTTCAGCACCCCATGGAAGCTGTAATTGTTCAGTATGATTATTGAACAAGTTTAGGTTTCTAAGAGATAGTGGACTTTCTGAATTTTAGCTGAGAAGTCATCAGATGAAATCTTCCCCAAAATTTGATTGTTTCTACTTATATGGGTTAGGAGGAAACCTGCTGCTCCAGTGGTTAGAATTTGATTGTTTCTAATTACTCTTAACTTTGGGATGGAGTTGGAAGTTGAAATCTTTAAGAAAGTTATCGGTTTTTTTCATTGATGTCATATTTGTGCTGTATTTAGATATTGGAAAGCATCTAATTTCATGCCTGGTTTGGCTTCCCCTTGTTTGTCAGCACAATCACAAAGAGCTTTACAGCCTCTCTGGAGCTGTGTGGCATTGCTCCTGTGGAATTGCTTTACAAAAGTTAGCCAGCTTAGTGTCTGTGTAAGCATTAGGTGGTGGAATGGGGAGGTCACTTTGTGAAGTGGTAGAGCAAGAGAGAAGACATGTTTCCTCTCTGATTTAGATTAGATGTCTGTCTGTAGGATATGATTGATGGAGAATAGCCCCAACACGACACAACTCCCCTTGAATTTTTTTAAGGTAAACGGTAAACCCAGCTGGCAAGCAGAGATTGCTATCCTGAAAGGGTGTATTTCTTGCAACATAGGTGAGCATATCCCTACACAAAGTGTCAACAGTTCCCCCATCTCTGGAATTCTAGGTTGAGGACGGTTACTCTCTGACAATGTTGGCTGGCAACTATACGAGGCCGGTTGACACGAATCAAAGCTAAGTGAGTTATTCCATGAGCTTAGTGTGCTCCAAGAACATCATCATCATCTATGGCATCCTTGAAGGCAATCAAAGCAGGTTTGGCAATCTCAGTAAGCACAAGCCTGCGGCAGCTGCCTTAGTAGATCAGACTTCAGAGTTCATGCAGAAGCCCACAATGAGGACAGCAGACATTAGTGTTAAATATCCCCTGGCCTTAGTAGATTAGACTTCAGAGTTCATGCAGAGTTCACCCTAATTACCAAGCAGTCTTTGCTCGTAATTCCATACTGAAAATCTTAGTCAAGTAATTTGATCAAAGAATTGCTTTGGTGTTAAATAAATGCTGGCCAACTCTTGGTCGAATTCGAATGACCCTTTTTTTCTTTGTTCTTAGTCATAACAGTATTTTATTAGATTGCAAGTCATGATTTTGAGGTTATCGAGTCTTCTACAGCCATTGGTGATCACTTCACCAGAAAAATTATGCATGTCAAGGGATGTTTAAAAAAAACCATGGGTGCTTTTCTTTTCATCTGTTTTCCCCCTCTCTGAAGACCTGAACATAAGCAAACCCAAACCACGCCACTTGAGCTAAAATCAGATGCAGGTTTATATTTTTACTATAAAATATTTTTAGCCAATTGTGATTTGAGGTGAATTTAGAAAGGAGATTCAGATATTTCAGAATTTTTGGGGCAATCCATTAAATTGAGTTCTAAATCCGAACCCTTTTATTATATTGAAAGGTAAATATTATACAATATCATGCGTATTATTCCTACTCTTTAGAGCATCCATAAAAAAGAGTTATAGCATTTATGACTCCCTAAACTAGAGAGCATGATTGGAGTTTAAATTTTATAAAGAGCTCATAAAATAGCTTTGATATGTTTTTAGCTAAATTTAAACTAAAAAATAGAGAGCATGATTGTGTATGCTCTTAAGAGTTCTGCCTTTGGTTACTGAACGCATATTACGAACTATGTATACGATACTTTCTCTTGACAAGTTGACATTAACTGTGGGTGCCTGAGAACTTCACTTCGAAGGTCACAGATCCATCCACTTGAGCCATCAAAGATTCAAAACAGACATCATTGATCAACAAATGCTGCCTCAGCCAAGTCGATGGCACGAGCAAGACCAGCAGCTTTGTTCTGGCACTCTTGGTTTTCATCATCGGGATCACTGTCAGCCACAATACCAGCACCAGCTTGAAGATGAGCGACCCATTCCCGGCGCCGGCTGGCATCTTTGTAAGAGTACAATGTGTCGAAACGGGATCCTGTTGTAAACACCATGGTCCTCAGAGCTAGCGCAATGTCCATATCACCAGAAAAGGAAACCGCTCCAAATCCACCGCTGTACGGGCCACGCCTTGCTACCTCCAGCTCATCAATCAACTCCATGGCCTTCACCTACATTAGATCACAAAAGATGATAAGATTGAGAAGAAGATTTCTAAAACTTTAGGAAGGTAAATTGAAAAGGGACGAAAGTAAAAGTTAACTGGCAACCTTTGGTGCACCACTAACAGTTCCGACAGGCAATGCAGCTCGCAGGGCATCCCAGCAAGTGAGATCATCGTGCAGCTCTCCCGTAACCTGCACCAGAGATTGTGACAATTTCACTGAAAGCAGATTCTAAGTAATTCTATACCAAAAACAAATTGTAAAAGTAATTTTTTCCTCAACTATGGAACATTTAGAAACCACAACATTTGGATCTGAGTGCACATTGTGATCAAAGGAAGGAGAAGAGGTCGGAGTACAAAAACCCTAACCGACCCCAAACTCAACCAAATCGGAGAAAGAGGAAGTTGCCGGAAATTAATTTATTAAAAAAAAAGGGTTTCACAATGAATACATCAATTTCCTTCCATTGGCAACCTAATGTCGCACATAATTTGAACAAGTACAGAGAACTGCAGTGACATGTCATTCCTTTAACATCACCTAAAGGCATATAGTCTTACCGTGGAGCTTATGTGCATTACATGGGAATACCGTTCAATTTCCATCAATCTATCCACCTTCACGGAGCCGAATTTGCAGACCTATATCAAGCCACATTACCAATACAAGTTTAAAAAGTTTGACATTTTAGTTTCCAATAATCAACTTGAACAAGCAACAATGGAGTATGCATAATATGAAAGATGACTTGCAATTACTTTTATCCAACCAGGACATTATATATAAGTTAAGGAAGAGCTGAAAGTTGAGTAATTGCACAATAATGTTCACAAGATTAGGTAATTGTTAAAGAGAAACCTTTCCAACGTCATTCCGACCCAGATCAACCAGCATGATGTGCTCTGCACATTGCTTTTCATCATCAAGTAGCTGCTCTTCTAACATTTGATCTTCTGCAGTTGTCTTCCCTCTTCTACAAGTTCCAGCTAATGGCCGATTGATTATCTTTTTCTGTTTATCACATTAGAAATATGAACATTCCCATTTCACCAAGGAAAAGCACTAGAAAACTAAACAAATGTATAAAAATTGTTTGTTATATTTACCTTTTTTGCACTCATTAGAATTTCTGGACTTGAAGCAACCAGGATACACCCTCTAGCCTATGTGGATATAGATAAAAGTCACCAAAAATTGTTATCCTAAACTTACAAATATTGGCCAAACCAAAAAGAAATTCGCAAGGAAAAAGACACAAACCTGCAAGTAAGTCAAATATGGACTGGGATTTACAGTCCTCAAGGCTCTATAAACTTCAAATGGGTCAGCAAATGTTCGGCGTTCAAATCGTTGACTTAATACAATCTGGAAAATATCCCCTGCGACTATATGTTCTTTTGCATGATTTACTATGTTCTTGTAAGCCTCGCTTGTCATGTTCGAGTTCTTTAAAGGAGGACCAAATTGGCGAGTACGTAGATTCATGGAACCTGGAGACAGCCTTGGGCTAACAATTGGAAATCGGATCAATATGGTCTAAATGAAACTACAAAAGGAAAATGTACTCATAGATAAAATAAGTACAACAGTTACTCACACGTCAATGTCGTGTACTCTAGCCACTAATTTCTCCAAACGTCTTACTCCATCTGTATAAGCTTTCTCAACTGAGGAGTACCGGTCTAGCCTCACCCAATGAATTGCATAAACTCTCTGAAGTGAAGAAAGTTACTAAAGCTCATAAGAACCTCAACAACCCACAACCGAGTCATAGTAATTAAATTACCACTCAAATTGTGAGAAAACCATTCATAGGTAATTGGCAATGAAAATTTTGGCATAGGCCTCCTTTTTAATGTGGCTCTTAATGAGCCAAAATCTTGGGAAGAATGTAAGAGCATCCGAAGAATAGATAGGAATCAATTGCTTTCCTTCTTGTTAAGAACAGAATGTATGAAAGTCATATTTGAAGAGAATGCATGCATGGCAAAAAGATAAGGAAAAGGTATGCATATCAAACTTCGTGTAAGAAGATTTCTGTCATCGGAAGAGTACCTTCTCCACGTGATCAAATACTATTACATCATCATACAGCCCTAAATGCATGTCTGGAAGATTTCTGTCATCCTTGGGGGCCTTTGAGAATGGCAGTCTTCTTCTTTCCACGTACCGAACTGTATCATACGAAAAGTAACCGACCCAGCCACCTATTCATAAACAGTTTCTCATTAAGTGTGGTTCTAGGAACTGTAAAGAGAAACTACTATTGTTAGTATAACAAAGGAAACACCAATTACAGCATGCGAAATATAACCAACCAAATGGATCTTAGTAGTAGATTCTAGATAAAGATAAGAAATAAAGAAGAAGTGTATCAGTCCAGCATCTAGTTAATGCTGGCTTTCATCAACTGAAAGCCTGCAATTAGTAAGATTCTTTCAAAGAGCAAGAAACAATTGGATTCAAAATTTAAAATTACTCAGAAATAGTGCAGAGCCATTGAAGGCGGTAAGAGAGTTTTGACAAAAATATGTACATATCTTGGTAAAGATTTATCTCTACTTTTCAATGTCACAAAGTAACTTCACTCTGTAGCGTAAGTGTCAACTGCCAACGCTTCTCTAGGCACACTCAATAGAGTGGTTATCCTTGCATTCATAACATAAGAGTTGAAATTGTGAAGTAACTTCAAAGGCTCAGGTTATCAAAAACTATTTAGTTAGTCCAAATTGACAACCAATGTACTTTCTCCTATGCATCCAATGTGAAATATAAGTACGTTGTTCACGGGACAATACAACAATTTAATGCTTTATACTTTCCATACACTTGTAGACAACCATATTAGGTTGAGCATAGTGAATCTGACAAACGAATGTGGAAATTCCAGTAGCATACAATCTAGCAGAAAATCTCTAAATCATAACTATGATACTAAATCAAGGTATTATCATAAAAACATATAAATCATAAGCTCACTTCTCTTACCACAAAATGCATCTGGAAGGTCATCAATAAGTTGGGGACTCCAAGTCTCTGAGATTCTTCTTGGAATAGCCATTGGATCCTCTACAACCTCCTCAGTCAAACATCTTTCTTCATGATCCATTATCGTCACCTTATTTTCTTTCGCCACGATTTCCATTGTTGGTTGAGCTCCAACAACACTGTAACGCCCCTGATATATCCAATGCCACGCTGAATTATGATTTACAATCAAATAGACCTATGAATTCAAAAAAAAAAAAAAAATATCAGAGCACGTTTAGCAGAATTGAAACCTGATTGTTTTGCTCCACTGACTCAAAGAGAAAGCTTGGAGCCTCTCGATCGTCTTCCTTAACCAAGCATCGGTACGCCAGAACTGGAGTGAGCTGGTCAGAAAAAATGCATTTGGAAAGGGGAACCAAATTTCCATTCTTTGAAGCTTCCTCAAACTTCTTTACATCATTAGCTGACAAATGAAAATCAACAGTAAACAACCAGAATAAAACAAAACTTAAAGTCCCTTAGAACCAAAGCTCTACCTAATTAGACTCAAAACATATATAACAAGAGGTAGCTTTCTTTCCATTTTCTAAACTCTTCCTTTGCAATTCCATTAAGCCTCCCTCAAAACAGTGGAGCAATTAGAAAATAATTTGTTCTTGATGTTAGTTCTTTTCTTCTTTTGTTTCAAATCAAATATACACATAAAAGAAAGACATTTGAAATTGGTAACATTAACTTAAGTAGTATAAATTTCGTTTCTTTCCCACCTCTTCTGCACCAAAAAAAACGTAAGTAAATTAAAACAAACAAAAAAGAGGAAGTCTTTTTTTGCTTTTGTTCTCTATTTCCCGCATTTTCTAAGCAGCCAAACAGTGGAAATAAAGCAGAGAAAGGTCAAATAACCTAAGGACTGGTTCGAGAGAGAGCAGCATTTCGTTCTAGGGACACATGCAAGCGAAGTTGAGCTTCTGCTCGAAATGCCGATGACCGGAACCGGAGACAGCCGTTGGCTCGCCGGAACCAAGCGCCGGGAGATGCACGGGGCTTGCATTCTTACAAGGGAAAAATGGGGTCTCTCTCTCTCTCTGTGTTCGGTGTTTGTGGTGGTGCTCTGGGGTGTGCTCTCTGCGAAAAATGGGGTCCAACTGTTGAAACTGGAAAAGTACCAAGAAAAGTGTGTGCATGTAACAGTCTGCTTGTTCTTATTTATCTTTGTTATAAATGATTTATTTATTTATTCTTAATTTTCATTTACATTTGGGAATGGTCAAAACTTTCTCTTTGGGATTTTATTTTCCTTTTGAAACAGAGTTACTCCATTTGGTTTGTCACCAACCCACTTCATGCAAAATTTGCAAATAAGTGAGATCAGGCTTAAGAGCGTTGGGATTCAGTCAATCAATGTCACCAGATTTTGTTGCCCAGATTTGGCATGTTCAATTTACATCGTGGTCCTGCACTATGAGTTGGTCGTTTTCTTTCATTATTCAGAAGCAGAATTCGAATCCAAAATATTTTTCAATAATATTGAAAAATGAATTTAGAATTTTAAAGTTGTAAATTCATGTACGTGAATTAAATCAAATTGTTGAAATTTTGAAGTACACCCTTTGGAATCTTTGTGGAGCCAAGGCCTTTGGGGCCATACATCTCCTCTCTTACTAGTGCATGGTGCCAAGTTTCTGAAATCTGAATAGGCAACATTTTTTTGGCAAATAGATGGTTACATATTTCCTTCATGAGCGAACAAATAAATGGTACATTTCAATGCCAATTAAGAATCATATTTTTGGATATACAAGTCACATGCCAAATATTGTTACCGCAATTGAACCTACATGGAGAAGGCTAGCGCACGGTATAGGAGGGACTAATCTTATCCAACAAAACAGGAAAACTTATCCAAATAAAAAGGAAAAATCTTATCAAAGCAATTAGTCACCTACCTACACCTACCCCTACCCTACCCTTATAGAATGCATCCTACATTTTTAAGGGTGGTATAAATTAAACATTATCTAAAATACATGATTTTTCGTAATTATCGCTCGTAAAAATAAATTAGTATTGATTTTGAAAAACAGTTTTCAGTTTTAACCCCAGTCAGACGAACTGGGTTGGGTTGCAATCATTAATAACAATGTCGCTCTCAAATTTCAGAGTTGCCATGGTTTTGCTATATATATCTTATATGTCTGTCTGTGGTCCCGTAATGAGGAAATCGAGCACAACCAATGAGAAATTGCCCTTTGGGATTCCCTTTAGAGTTTTTTCACTTTGCTAGTTCCACTGCCAACATCTGAAAAGCGTTTTTTATTTTTGAAGGCATGTTCTTTTTCTATTTTTGGCAAAAACTAAAAACAAAAGCAGAAAAAAAATGGTGTCCATATTGACTATTATTTTACCTGCAATTTTGTTAGGCGTAGGTAGGTACAGGTAGGTCTCTATACAACTCTCTTATGAGAGATTCATTGTATACACTACTTGTATCTAAGAAACCATTGTCTCCACCTAAATGTGCTACACAAGGTTTTTTATTTTATTTTTAAAAATACCTTTTATTAATAAATAATAATAATTCAAGTGAATCATTTGAAGAACAACTACATGCTATATAAGGATGTTGTATGTGTCAACTAGAATCTGAGCCAATATGTACGCACGAGTCAGTTTTCCCTTAGAAACTTGTAATGACTTCCTCTGTGAAGGGAAAGGGGTAAGGCAAGCATACCAGCAACCCCAAGAACAAAACTAAAACGCCAAGGCCAACATACTTGTCTTCAGGATCTGTGATCTCCTCATAGAGGGGAGCAATCGGCCCCCTCTGTAAGAAGAATATCAGAGCTACCCAATAAAATGCCACATCACTAACTAGTGATGATAATCCGAGCAGCGCGATTGAGGCACCTGTGATGCGAGTTGCAGCCTGTCATATGAAAATACCCATCATCAGTATTATTTTACATCAGATTTCCAACTTCAAGCTTCCAGTTTAAATTGTAATGAACTTGAAATGGCCCGCATACCTTTCTTCCCCATATGGCAAAAGAAATTCTCCCCCCATCAAGCTCTCCAGCAGGAATGCTGTTAATGGCATTGATAACGAGTCCGGCCCATGCCCATAGCAGCAGAGGGTTAAGAGATATGGGAGTGCCTTCCTTGAGCGCATCACCAAGAAGAAGCTTTGCTATAAAAGAAAAAAAAAATGTCAGAGTCAATATCTTCTCTTAAGGAAACAAAGCCCTGATTTTGATTGCTGAAATAAAGTCAATTCCCTACATAATCAGATTTGGTGATTGAAATGAAAAGTTAAAATAATCCACTATTCTAAGAGCCGTGGAAGATTCAGCCACACTTGAACAAGCAAGCACATTATTTATCACATAAAGCATCTACACGCCACTTATCTCTAAAATAAAGTGCTTACCAATACCCCCCACAAGAAAGCAATCGTGAAAAACAGAAGCATCGACAACAACACCAATACCATCGCTAGGTGGTAAGAAGAACCCTAAAAGCAAAAGAACAAAACCCAAGGAAAATCCAGCCAATGGTCCTGCTGCTGCAACTTTCAGAAGATCTTCACGCTTGGGTACAATATTTATAATTCTTGTAATTGTACCAAAAGAGCCTATCTGCCAGCAAAAAGCTCATTAGAAAAGAAAATTGAAATGGATCAGTACGCACACCTAGAAGCAAGAATGTCTGCCTCGTGATACACCATACATTTTGTACATTAAATTATCATTTCTATACTTCTCCTAGCAGTTCTTTCAACTTATGACAAGACTAGCATTCCAAAAGTAACATCATTCTCCAAGAACAAGTAGATGATTCCAGATGGTAATCAGCCTTACATGCACACATACAAACAGATATTTACATCTACGAAACTTGTCTTATAAAAGGGGGGG